GACATTACTTTGAATGACTGATTGGAGTAGTTGAATGAATGACCGTAATTTCGATCTTCGAAGGTAAATAAACAAAAGAAAAGCCCTCATCTATCTAATATATACACAACTCAAAACGTAAACACAATTCAAGCGAAGTTCACTGGAAGCGGAGGAGCTGTGGTGGTTTTTTGCCCGGACAGGGCTTCTCAGGTCAAACTTCTGGAAGAAGAATGTCGGGAATCTGGATTCATACTTGAGCCAGTAAAGCTTTTGCCTACTCGCCTCAACAATTCTGATCTCAAAACTTTATCAAAGCCCTGAGTTTATTACAGCAATGTCGTAGAGCTCTTAGGCTTAGAAAAGAACTTAGCTCTCTTGAGATCAATGTATGAACTTAAGCTTAGTCCATAGCTACTCTTATCTTCATGTATTAATCACTAATAAATTGGATCAATCGCTAATTACATATAGACATATTAGGTGATTTCCCACGTTATACACGGTTAAATATTTGTTAAAAATTAAATAAATTAGAAGAATTTTATTTTCTGATTAAAAATTACTAATGATGTTTAATTTAGATTCCAATTCTGTTTTTTGTATGAAATAATATAGAGAAATTTTTAAAAATACCATTTTTCAAGTGGCACTTTACAAAAATGCCACACTTTTGAAATCTTTACAAAAATGCCACTTTTTCAAAATTATTTTTTCTTTATATTATTTATGTTTGGGTTAATTATGTTCTATTAGGGTTTAGTTTTGAGTGTTTAGGGGGTTTTAGGTGTCAAAACATTTTTCAGGGTTTAGAATTTTAAGATCTAGACTTTATAAATCTATAATTAGTGGCATTTTTGTAAATGGACACCCCTAAGTGGCATTCTTGCAAATGTACATACAAAAAGTGTCATTTTTGTAATTGTCCTAATAGTATCTTTTTCTCCGTTTGTTAGCACTAATTCTAATTTTAATTAACAAACTTCATTTACGATTCATTTAACAAAAAACAACTGAATTGGTCTTTGAATCCAATTTTATATCATAATAACCAAGTAA